TCTTCTAAATCATAGTAAACACAAACTCAGATGAAAGTTCAGAATTTTTTTGACACGTTAGCCGTTATTTAATATAATAGAATAAAACCTCTGCACCTTGTGAAAAATTTAGAACACATATTCAAATCAAATTAAAATATTAAGTAACATGCACCTGCTAGACTTTGGCTCGGCCGTCAGTCTTTTCACAAATAAAGAAGTTAGATACTTCTCAGACTTTCACGGCTATTGAAGCTAAAGCTAAAAAGCTATTGAATATGAAATCTAGCAGAGTGACCGACCGGCGATAATTGTCAAAGCATCTATCTCAAACTCATTAACTCTGTATTTAAATGCATTAACTAACTACATCCTGGCGAAAGCTGACGAAAGTAAAACTGAAAGTAAAGGCCAACTAATAATATAATTGATTTAATTAATATCAAACTCTTATCTAAAGAAATATGATTTCGCCTTCATGTAGGATTTTTTAATTGTAATTCTCCCGTATTTACATTACACAATAAAAAGTCAATGAGAAACCCGTGTCTTCAGTTCATTCACCATCAGGGAACAAGATTTGAAACTACCTACACTAGAACTATTAATCTAGCTCCTCTCATACGAAGGCTCTCGTTAATCGAGCCGGCAATTAATTTAAAGGAATCATTGGGAAATGTAGTAACACCATTAACGGGTCCTTTACCTGCCTTCAAAATACAAATTACATGTGTTAAAAGTGAAAGCAACACTAACTGACAATGAATTCGTGGACAAGATTTCGAACGAGCTACAGTAGAAATATTAATCTAGCTCCTATCATCCGAAGTCTCCGTTAGCCGAGCCGGCAATTAATTTAAAGGAATCATTGGGAAATGTAGTAACACGAGTAACGTGTTCTTTAACTGCCTTCAAAATTCAAATTACATGCGTTAAAGCTGAAAGCAGCGCTAACTGTCAATGAATCCGTGTACATATTTCAAAGTATGAAAGGATGACGTTTTGCATGGTATAAATGCATAAAACAGTGAACTAAGTTTTCAGGTTTTTAATGACAAAGAAATCACTGGCGGAGTAAATCCGGGAAAAAATATAAATTGTAGTGATGCTGAGGATCACGATGAAAGGAAACCAAAAATGTGAGAATTAACTGAACTCTTGGTTTTAGTATATTTCCGAATTAAAGTCGAATTACCAGTGTTCAGCTGTTTTACCACTCGATCACTATAGTCTGTCACTTTTAGAATAGGCATTTCAAGGTCATTCCTCCCCCGGCTTGCCTTGTAACCATGTTAACAACAGCTGCAGCAGGTGGGTGAGCGCACGAATGAAGGCCGACTAAAACTACGGTTTTAGATGGGGTGCAAAAAAAAAAAAAAAAATAATAATAATAATGCCGAGCGGTGATGACGACATATGTTACAATCGCAAATAGGCAAGGGTCGGGAAAACCTTCAAGTACCTAGTTTAAAGTAACAGACTGTAAAGGCAAATTTTAAACAAAAGAACATCCTGATGCTTCCTTATTTCCTAAGGAAAATTGGCTTAGACTTGCGGTGGCTAATAGAATAGACTTAGCACTGTTGTAAAAAAGGGTGATTTTGATGGAGTTTATTCATTCCAGTCGTTTCATAAATATTTTTGTCCACGAAATAAAACTTTGTATGGATTATTTGTTAACTGAAGGAAATATATTTTATCTAGCAGTAAAAGAGTTTATTAAGAGATTAATAGCAGTATTTAAGCATTTATTTTTACAATTTCAAATAAAAGATTCCACAAAAACCTTGCCGAAATGGGAATTAACATCATTTAAAATTTAATCTCTGTTAACTGAATATTCGATTATCAGAAATAGTTGCAGTCCCAATAGTTTCGGATAATATAGGTTCTGTTATATTAGCATTCTGTAATTTTACTGCTTCGCCAATGGTTATCCTTACAAAGTTCAAGAATTTGCATAAAATCATATTTTAATGCAATATTTACTTTGTTAATATAATGTAATAAAATACTATTAATTATTATTAGAAAACACTGACTGTTATTTTAAAAACGTTTTTTCTCTTTAAAGATTAAAATATGATCATTATGTAACTCTTTAATTAAATATAGTCGACTCTAATGACAAGATATGTAAGCTCTTGTGAACTATCAATTCAATTCAAGCTTGTAAAAATTATTATATTTGATTTTATAACGATAGTTAAATCTAGGATTATATCATTATATTTCGTTACACAGGGATTCCGTGAAACATACTAGCTGCAGTTTTATTTTCTTAACTAATGGTCGTAAGCATTAAAGACAGAGAATTGTACGAGAATAGTTGTAGCAATGGAAGAAGAATCAGTAATCGAATTTAAAAAATTTTAAGAATAATTTTGTTACCGAAATAAGTGTTAAAATTAACTGAAATTTTAACGCATTTAGGCAGCAAAATGATTCTTAAAATTTAACTATTATCTAGCGATATACAGGGTAATTCTAATTAAAGTTCTACTTTCAAAAGACTGTAAGAAAAAGAACACCCGCCAGAATGACCTGAAATTTGGCCTGAATATACGTAAAGCAAAGTCTGGCCAAAAAAAAAAAAAAAAAAAAAAAAAAAAAAAAAAAGCTCGAAATTTTATCCCCCCCCCCCAAAAAAAAAAAATCGATTTTTAATTGTTGATTACCGTTAGTCCAAAAATTATATAAAAAAGAAATCAGTGATTCAGATGAAATTCAATTTATTACTTTCAAACTGATCAAAGTGCATGCCTTTAAATGCATTTGCAAATGGTGCGGCGAAAACCCAATACTCAACTTCAAATGAAGAAGGCTTCTACTTCAGTAAAACATGGTGGAGGTAGTCATATGGTCTTAAGCTATATGAGTGCCTGCGGCGTTTAAATTCTAAATTTTATTGATGGTAAGATTCCTAACTTTATATAATTGAATATTTGAAAACAAAATTTGAAATACATCTGACAGAAAATGGAGATATTGTCAGATTAAAACTTTATCAAGATGATTACCTGAAGCATAATGCTCATATTTGCATAGGACTTTATACACACATCCCGGTGCAATCCAAAAACTTGTGTTTAATCCAAACTTCAATCTTATTGAGCATATTTGATATTATTTGTACGACAAAATTAATAAATTCTGTTGAATTATTAACAAAATTAATAAATTAATCAGTTCTGTCGAATTTCCTACAGAAATGCACTTAGAGGAATATTCACACAAAATGCTAAAAAATAGAAGGAAATCTCAGTCAAAATCTTATGAATTCATGGAAAAAACTCAGTGATTTCATGGGAAGGAAAAGTAATCAAAGTACATCATTACAGCAATTTTCTTAGAGTTTTTTTTAATACGTTTGTGTGCCCCTGAACTTCTTTGTTTATAACTTTTTCATTTGTACACGTACCGTATCAAACTGAATGTTTATTTTAATTTATTCTTAATTAATTTTAATGTTTTTCTATTTCGTTCAACTCTAACATGTGACATATAATAAAAATATTTCGCTTAAATTAAATATTTAATTATTCTTTCAAATAAATGTACGAAAGCTTGTTCTGTCCCAATACGTTTTTGATTCATTATAATGATTCGTTTATGAAATTTATAATTTTTTAAAAACATTTATAACGAAAATATCTACAAGAATTTCCTTTCTGATGTTTATAAATATGAAAAGTCTAGGAAACAGTCTAGGATTCTGTTTTTACATTATTATTATTAGAAAACACTATTGCCGAAAAATTGCCGAAAAAATCATGATTTCGTCTCTAAAGACTCATTTTTTGTTTCAAGCAATAGCCGAGATGGTATGATAAATGAATAGCGCTGGTTCATCCTTAGGACTGTTAATTCTGCTTCTTGTATACGGTAAAAATAAAACAGCTTCCCTTAGGAAATCTTGCACGAAGGCAGACAGATTTTAGTGTCATTAGGTTTCTTTGAAGCAGGAGACTGAAGAAATCCGCAGTGTTCTCTCCGGGATTCAAACACCGGAGAACCTGAAGACGCGTCAAGTATACTTCCAGTTACACCCCGAAGGCATGCGGAAAGGAGGAAAAATGCCTTATATACTCCCCTTTTAAAGGGCGAGTGGGGATTAGGAGACCCAATCGCCAAATTCTGGTGCCTAATTATTGTTCACCACCTTTTATTTCGCGTGCCACTTGTACAGTCATTAGGTTCTCTCGATATCAGGAAACTGAAGGAGTCCGCAGTGCCTTTTTCGGGATTCGAACTCCGGATCTTCCAAATATGTGCCGAGTGTGCTTCTTCGAATTACACCAAGAAAACATGCAGAAAGGAGAAAGAAAATACCTTATAAGGTTGTAGCGTCATTAGGTTATTTTGAAGCAAGAAGGCGTGAGAAATGTTCGATTCCCTCGCCAGGACTCGAACCTGGACCTCTCGAATACGCGCGGAGTGTGTTATCGTTACACCACGAAGGCATGCTGGAAGAATGGAGATCCAGTCATCAAATCCTGGTGGCGACGAATTATCGTCCACAACTTTTTTTTTTTAGTTCCAGGGCCTCTGTCGAGTCATAAGTTTTTTTTTTTTTTTTTTTCCCTTAAGTAGGAGATATGAAAAATGTACAATGACCTCCCCAGGACTCGAACCTGGACTTCGAATACGCGCCGAGTGTGCTACCGTTACACTACGAAGAAGGGAGAAAATACCTTAACCTCAAGACTTTGGCATAATAATTGACGTCATTAGAAAAACAGTACTGCTTACGTTATTCTTATGTTGTACTTCATTTTAAGTAATTATTAGTACTTTCTTTCTTGTATTGGGTAGTAAGACTATAAGTTAAAAGTCTATCATTCGCTCCTTAAACAGTTTTTATATCTAAATATAAAATAAAAAAAGTGATAATTAAAATGGCAGAAATAAACTGTTGAAATTTTGAGATTAATATCAAACACTGCATGCAAGGTACACGATTAAATGTTTTGCTAGAAGCAGAAATAAGGGGAATAAAAAGAAGAGTTTAAAAAACTTACCTGAATTATTTGATGAAATAACTTTTGTTTAACGTGGCATCGATTAAATCTTGTTTTTTCCATATTGCGCACCTGACGAATGTCATTTCGAACTTAGTGTATCGCAAATATGTCTTCGATTTAACGAAACAGAAACCATGTGGACTGTCAACAAGATTTTGCCATGTTCTTCCAATAGTTTACCTTTTTTAGCGAAGTGACCTTGGCAGCTACGCCTACGAATAGATTTTCACTACTGAACCTCGTTCTAACATCCAGGAAGTGGGCGCTTCTTGGTTTGAAATTCACATATTCAAGAGCTGGATTTGTCAGCTGGATTTCTGAAAATTTCAGATTGCGTTCTAATATCTTAAAGAGTTTACCACCAAAGCCGCCAAAAGCTTTAAACTTTTTCAAAATTACAAGAATCATAAAGTTTTAAAAATTGGAATTATTCAGTTTTTTTTTTTTTTTTTTTTTGAACGCCTGATTTTTATATTTTTTAAATTGTCAATCAAACCTTTTTATACAGAGAACAATTTAATGCCTTAAAAACTTTTTTAAGATACATAATTACGTTTAATCTACTATTGGGTTGGCAACTAAGTAATTGCGGATTTTTTTTAGAAAATCAAGGACAATTTTTTCATGGAACTAAATAACTTTATTCTGTAATGTATTGCCCATTTTGATCAATGACCTTTTGCCATCTTTCAGGTAGCATCATAATCCCACGTTCATAAAACTTCTGGTTTTTATTAGCAAAAAACTGAATCAGGTACGATTTGACATCATCATCATTATTGAAATTTTTACCATTCAAGGAGTTTTGTAAACATCGAAACAAAAATGGTGCAAGGTCAGGACTATATGGTGGATGTGGCAAAACATCCCAACCAAGCTCCAATAATTTTTGTTGAGTGACCAAAGATGTGTGTGGCCTTGCATTTGTCATGATGGAATACAACACCTGTTCGATTTGTCAATTCGGGCCGCTTTTCTTCAACAGCATTGTTTAATTTCGTTAGTTGTTCAATGTAAACATCAGAATTAATCGTTCGGTTGGGTGGTAAGAGTTCAAAGTAGACAATTCCTTTGTAATCCCACCAAACTGATAACAAAACCTTCTTTTGATGAATATCAGCTTTGGATGTTGTTTGAGTTGGTTCACCTGGCCTGCTCCACGATCTTTTCCGCTTGATATTGTCGTAAACAACAAATTTTTCATCGCCAATTATCAGTCGTTTTAAAAATGGATCATTTTCATTACGTTTCTTTGGCAATCTCAGCTGTTAATTCGTTGCGTTAAATGCGTTTCTTTCAGTTCGTGAGGAACCCATGTTTCGAGTTTTTGAACATAGCCAAGTTGTTTTAAGTGATTTTCAATGCATGTATGTGATACATGAAGCTTCTCTGCAATCTCACGTGTTGTACTGTGACGATCCGAATCGATTATTGTTTTGATTAGGTCGTCATCAACTTCAACTGGACGACCAGAGCGTTTTTCATCTTTGAGTGAAAAATCACCAGAACGAAATTCGGCAAACAATTTTGACACTGCTATTCTTTTAAGGCTTCGTCACCATAAACAGCACATAACTTTTTATGAGTTGTGATGCGTTTTTCCCTTTGTGGAAATAAAAAAGCAAAATATGGCAAAAATGTTCTTTTTGATTTTCCATTTTTCAACGAACGCCAAACGAAAACTACGCAACCGATCAAAAAACGGTTTTTTACTGATTGACAGCTGAATTGCCAACTATCAAATAACAAAATGTGTTTTACATTTGTACTACATCTGCAACCCTAAAAATTCAACTGAAGCCATCTATGAGTGAAATCCGCAATAACTTAGTTGCCAACCCAATAGTTTAATTACACAAAAATTCAAGATGCTGGACATAGAATTATGTATTTAAAGTGAGTTGTTAAAAATAGGAATTTCAGATAGTTAAAAAAAGAAGTACAGTGCTATTTTTTTACAGTAAATTAATAAATACTACGTGAAGACTGATATATTTAATTACTAAACAAAAAAATTAATTCTTCAAAATATACTTGTGTGTTACTTCGTTGGACTGTTTGCGCACCAGTCCTGCAATGAACATATCCCTCAAACGGCAGTTTTTTACTTTACCAGAATATCAAATTTCCTTACTCAAAAGAATGAAAACGAGATATTCAATAAATAACTAAAAATTGTAAGCGATCATTTTGGTATTCTTTAGAAATAATTTATGCCATGCATCTTGCATTCAATCGCAAAAAGTACAGTTTAATAATTAATGTGGAATTAAATAAACTTAAATCAATAAAATGGATTGTTTTATTAAGTAAATAAGAATTATCTGCTTAGGCTCCAATTTAGTTTTCACGTGTATTACGGAATAAGGCTAGATTTATGTACCTTTACCAGTAGTATCTCAAGAAACAGTGGAAACAACAGATTCTAAGTGCCATCATTTCTCAAAGTCACAGAGTCTATTGTTAAGATCTCGAACCCAAGCTTAACGGTTTGGACCGACCTTATGCAATCTAAGGGTGCATGCTAATGTTGCGTTGAATTAAAAAATATTAAATTTTGATAATAAACAGTTTGATTTACTGTTCTTGGCAACCTGAAGATTGGTATATGTATCAAGAAAATTCGCTAGTTGGGCAAAGAATTAAATCCAAAATTCAAGAAAACTGCCATAAATAAAGCGTGAGTTAACAAACGGTTTTCATCATTTTGCACTTGAGTACGAATCGATTTGTCTTAGAATCCGGCACAAACATCTCTGCCCATAAGAAGCTAATTCCCACGTGCTTTGCCATAATTAGCTAAACAATCTGCAAAATATGTAGTTTTATGAGTTCATATGACCTAACAATACTACTACATTATAAATTCTATCATCAAGATGTGAGATATTTATTTCCGTCAGAGGTGACCAAGGCACCATAATTAAAGAAACATTTTTCGCAAAACAGGAAACATCATCTTCCATTTATTTTTAAAAATTTCACGAATTTGACTTTAAATTCAACATTTTGACACAAATCAACTGGAAAAAATGGTAATTTGTGTTAAATAAAGCTTTTGTACATATTGTTAGCCCAAAAGGACTATTAGCCTTGAGACGCAGTTTTGCTTTCTTTCACTTAAATGCGTATTTCAGTTTTCATTAAAGTGTGTTGCCATTCTGCAAAGTTTAAAAATTTATCTTTCAAATTTAATCTATTGATTAACAAAAACAAAATTCCGCAGATCCTCGTGCCAAAAGGCACATCAACTTTTTAAACAGGAAAATCAAGCAGGAAATTATGGAATTCAGAAACAAAAAATGGGACTTTCTCCTATCAAACCTGGATCCTCAAGATCAAGCAGTATGGAAAATTGCTAAATCTCTAAGAAATAGCAGACCAAATCAAACTCATGCAATTCATCACATGGGAATCTCCTATCAATCTGAGGACGAGATTGCTAATATAATGGCTAATGAATTAGAGAAAATATTTCAACCTCACCCGCCTGAGAATAACTCCCAAGAAGAAGAAGTTAATTTTACTATTGACAGTATTAACAATTATCCTATAACAAATTTCATTCCCTTTACTTCACCAAAAGAAGTAAGAGAAATTATTCACAAACTCAAGCCAAGGAAAGCCAAAGGCTATGATCAGATTAGCAATGAAGCACTTAAAGCTCTTCCTAGACGTTGTATTACTAACATAGTCAATATTTTTAATGCCTGCATCCGAAATAATTATTTCCCTCAGCAATGGAAACACTCCATAATAGTCAATATCTTAAAACCAAAGAAAGATCCTAAACTCGTCACTTCCTACAGACCTCTCAGTCTTTTACCTTCATTAGGAAAAGTATTTGAGAAAATCCTCTGCTCAAGGCTCACTAACCATCTCGAAAGACTCAATTTAATAGATGATCTGCAATTCGGCTTCCGCAGTGGACACTGCACGACTCATCAAATTCTCAATTTGGTGGAATTTGTTTCGCAAGCCTTTACTAAGAAAAACGGGGTGGCTGCATGCTAACTCGATTTCGAAAAGGCCTTTGATAGAGTGTGGCATGCAGGCCTCCTGCATAAATTGAATAATTTTATGCTTCCAAACAGTTTCGTAAAACTCATTAGTTCCTATCTGAAAAACAGGACTTTTCAAGTTCGCTGCGGTGACGCCTTATCTGTCAGAAAAAGAATTCATAGCGGGGTGCCGCAAGGATCCGTTCTTTCCCCCCGGCTCTATAATGTTTATATCAATGATTTCCCGCACCCATTCAACACGAAAATACTCAAATATGCTGACGACACTGTAGTACTGACTGAATCCAGAAGTCCCCAGCTCGCTCTAAGTAATTTACAAATGCATCTCAATATGATCAATCACTGGTGCAAGACTTTGGAAAATTAAGCTCAACGCCTCTAAATGTTGTATTGTGCTCTATCGGAGATACAAAACAAGATTAAGAGTTAATACTGATATCTACTTAGATAGAACTCTAATCCCTGTAGCTAATTCCTATAAATATTTAGGTGTTTACATAGATAAATCTCTCAACTTCAAAGATCATATTTCTTATATCTTAAACAAAGCAAATGCAGCCTACATGGCAATTTATCCTATTATCGGCAAAAAATCGAAGCTCAGTCTAAAAATAAAGAAAATGCTTTACATATCTCTAATTCGACCGATCATGCTATATGCAGTGCCGGCATGGGCAATCGCCAATAAAACTGAGCGCAAAAAATTGGATATACTTCAAAATAAAATTCTACGTAGCATTGTGAATGCACCTTGGTACGTGAGAAACTCTATAATTCATAACGACCTGGATATTCCATCTGTGCATAACTTTATACTCATGACAGCTCACAACTTCTTCGAGAAGATGAAGCATAGTCAGTATAACGCAATTAAACAAATGTTGGATTATGATCCAACAATTGAATATACTGTCAAACGCCCAAGGACAATTCATCACAATTCGTTATGGTGGTAACTTGTAAAATTTAATTTTAAAATTTACTTGAACTCTAATTGGACTCTATCCTTTTATTTGTGTTGCATCTTATACTAATGTTAATCAAGAAAATTTTTTATTCAAGATTTTTATGTTACTATTTCATTTTTTAAAATTATTTTGTATGAATTTTTACTTTATCGTATGATTCTACGAACTTTTG